GAGCTGAATATGAACTGTGTCTCACCTCAGTAACTTTCTCAGCCACAAGATTCAGTACTTCTGAGTCATTGCAAAGTAAGATTTCACCACTAGCTTCGTGTTTTAGTACCAAGACACCCCAAGCAGCAATATCATGATCTAAAGAAAAGTTCCTTCAAGGAGGGTGATTTGTTGCCAGTGATGGTGGGCTCTTCAAGGAATTGGTAATTTTCTCTTTCATGGATAATATCTGATTATCTGCCATCCTCCCAGGCACTGCTTGACTTTTACGAGCTTAGCGTTTCCCGTGAATATAATACTGTAAATATAATCTGGAGAAGGGTATTAGCTCCTAAACGTAATTCGACAACACTTCTCCCTAGGAAATGTAACCGAGTTAATGATTGGCGTACCTGTCTGGTACAAGTTGATTGTTGACGTAACTGATGGTAGTGGACCTGTTTCGTACGTGGAAACATTACAGTCGCCTACGTTATTACAGTCACCTACGTTATTAGTCACCTACGTTATTACAGTCGCCTACGTTATTAGTCACCTACGTTATTACAGTTACCTACGTTATTACAGTTACCTACGTTATTTCAGTCATCTACGTTATTTCAGTCGCCTACGTTTTCAGTCACCTACGTTATTTCAGTCACCTACGTTATTTCAGTCGCCTACGTTTTCAGTCACCTACGTTATTTCAGTCACCTACGTTATTACAGTCACCTACGTTATTAGTCACCTACGTTATTACAGTCGCCTACGTTATTAGTCACCTACGTTATTACAGTCACCTACGTTATTACAGTCACCTACGTTGGCATGAGATTCGCTGCTAATGCATTTATGTGAAGTGTTAAACCCATACGAGTCATTCATCACAGAGTGGAAGCTCGATTCTCCTTTAATAATTAGGACAAAACTAATGGTCATCGCTTCAAGCCCGGAACAAGCAAACAAATGTTATTTTCGAAATATACAAATTGGTGAAAATTAACGACAGGGCATTTTGGGCAGACTAAAACTAGAACTAAAAAAAATAACCCAGATTGTATAGTTGTACAGTTATATAATTTTAATCAAATTGTCTGAAGATAAAATTATTAAATGTATTGAATAATTTCAGCATTAGTAAGGCCTCGCCTAGCTTACGCAGCTCAGTTCTGGTCCCCATATTACAGAATAAAAACATTATTTTGAATATTGTTTTGGAAGGTTTCGTTATAATAATTATTTGGAGGGAGGGAGGGGGTGGGGGGGGGGCAAGAATACCGTGATGACAGTGTGTATGATTGCTGATTGGAATCTGTATAAGCAGGTTTACCTGAAGTTTACCTGGAGAGGGTTTCGGGAATCAAAAGCCCCGGTGGCTCGGTCTGAGACCAAGCCTCATGGTGGATCAGGGTCTGATCAACCAGGCTATTTACTGCTGGTTGTTAAATTAAGTATAAATTATATCTAGGTGTATTTCCGGTGACTGGGATCCAAGGAATTTTATCCCCGTATTCCATTATCCCCGCCTTTGTGCCTGGCACCAGGTGTGACTATGCAGAAAGGGAGCATAAGTTGATACTGTAGTTAATTTTTAGTGTTTGAAGATTTGAGAGGTTAGAATAGTCATTCATAAGTCACTTATAAACGAAATATTCAATTTCTTAATAGTATTGTAAATTTAAGGGCAGTGCAGTCCCGATCTAATTCAACCCTTTCAAAGCAATTAATTTTCTGAAATCCAGAAGCACCATGGCCTGAAGTCACCAAAATACTTATCACGTTAGAGGTGGGAAGGTTTGAGCTGATCAGATGTGCCACTCGGACATTATTGCCCCCGAAAATCAGTATTTAGTTTTTCCAGTTTCTCCAGAAAAGCATAATTGGGACCCACACAGACTAAATCAATCTAAACTTTTCTCTAAGTAAGATTGGACCCAAATTTTAAGAAAGTAAGTTTTATGTTTAAACCCAGGTAACCAAGGCCGGATTAAGAGTCTCCGGGCCCTAGCTATCAAAAATTGCGGGGCCCTTTGAGTTACGGTTAGCGAAGCGACTCCTTCCCGTTGGGGGTTGGGGGGGGGGGGGGTGTGTGAGCTGTTAAGGTCTAATTTTTAAAAACAAATTTTGGCTATTTAGAATTAAATTTAATAGGGAAAGACTAAGACAACCAAAAACCCTTTTTCCAAAAAGCCTTTATAACTATTTTGTTAAATCATGGCTTTTTAAAGAGAATAAACTAAGACAGCATAGTTTTCTAGATTAGGTAAATAATAGTGACATCAATGTACCTTTTATATTCAGCATTAAACCACTACAGCCTATTTTTCCCTTTATAAATCACTGACCATTATTGTTATCATTGCATCATGCAAAGACTATCAGATCATATATAAACTCAAGAAAGTAAAAGAAATTGTTTTTAATTCACAGGCACTTCTTAAATAATTTTTTTTTCTGGATTTCATATTTGGGAAAATCATCAATTATATTCTGAAAATCATATTTCTTGTTGATCAGACTC